CCCTGAGTCACTGATCAAGAATTTAAGTCACCGGTGGGGCAGATCTTGTTCCTATTACCAGCACGTTGGTCCCTCTCTCCTTCCACCTTCACTGATGATCTCAGGGGAGAAAAAGTATTTTCCCTTAAATGTGGATTCCTATTACTTGAGATTGAAAAGTCCGTGAAATGTTTTCACTGACTAGAGAAAGCCTTTCGTGAGCCTAGGAGCAAAAATGGAAAGGGGTAAGAAAAAAAAAAAAAAATGGAAAGGGGAGGAAGGAACACCATTTGGGGACGTCTCGGGTTAATTTGATTATTTTTACAATTATTGAGTTCCCATTATGGCGAGACACTGGAGATACAAAGATGCAAAGCATGAAGGAGAGACTCAGGCTGGAAAAGGTGGACAGACCAACGGACAAGTGCTCTAAAGGGCTACGTGGGCAGCAATACACATCCTAAAAACAGCAGAAGCACAAAAGAGAAAAGGACTCTTCTATCTGGAGGGAAGCAAGTGGGTTGGAAAAAGTCAAAGAAGGGCATAGGAGCTTAGTCTTGAAGAACAGTTGCGATGGATCCTCTAAGCTCATAAAACCCCACATTCCAGGGAGGAGGAGCATTGGGAGCAAGAGGTAAGCATTGGGAGCAGAGGTAAGAAACAGAGCAGCCTGCATGGTCATCAGAAAGCCAACAGAGTACGAATTCTCAGAAATGCCTAAATCCTGCCGTTACATGCCAAGCAGGACCCCCAGTCTCCTGCTCCAATCCCACCTTGGGTCTCATCGGCACTTCCTCTGGGAAGCCTCCTGGCCCCTTGAAGTTTCTATAGCACTTTGACTCTTTGTGCCATTTCTCTTACACTTCCAACCTATTCGCCCTCCCTGCTCCCCAGATCTCTCTGCACCCCTAACACTCTCTGGTGAGCAACCTGAGGGCAGGGATTGGGTCTCAGTAGGCATGGGTCGCGCCATAAGTATCACCGTTATTCCCTTTGAATTGACCTGCTCAAGTTTTCACGATGCTCTCTGTACCTAGAGGCCCATAGTAGGCATTTTTTCCTGTTTCTTGTATTTTCTTATTTGGAAATTTGAAATGAATAGGAAAGTCGTAAAAAGTAAAAGTAGTACTTTATTTTTTGAGAAAAAGTCGCAAACTTCATACTCCCTTACTCCTTACTCCTTCAATATGTATTTATGTATTTCCTATAAACAAGGATGGTCTCTTATACAATACCACCATCAAGGTAACAAAACTAACACTGATCTAACGTTACCATACAATTGCCCAGATCCCATTCAAATGTCCTCCATTGTCCCAAGTTTACATTGTACAGGTCCTGTACAGATGTCGTTTCTCTTTAATCTCCTTCATTTCGGGGGCGTCTGGGTGGCTCAGTGGGTTAAGCACCTGCCTTCAGCTCGGGTCATGATCCCGGGGTCCTGGGATCGAGTCCCGCATCGGGCTCCCTGCTCGGTGCAGAGCCTGCTTCTCCCTCTGCCTCTGGCCCCCTGCTCGTGCTCGCTCACTCTCTCTCCCCCGCTCTCTTGCAAATAAATAAATAAAATCTTTTTTAAAAATCTCCTTCATTTTGGAAATATTCCTCTGTTTTTCCTTCTCTTTCATGGCCTTGACATTTTTTTGAAGGCTGTAGTTACTTTGTGGAATGCAGTTTGGGTTTATTTGATGTTTCTTTATGATTTATGTATTTGTAGCAAGAATACCTCAGAAGCAATGCCTTGGTCTTCTCATTGATCATATCAGGAGGCAAATACCATCAATTTCTCCCATTACTGTTTTCTTGTTACATTTGGTAAACGTGGGGCCTTATAGGATTTTTCCATTGAGTCATTCCTAGGTATTTTGTAAGGAGATAACTTAAGATTTCTATTGTAAGATAGCCTTTTCCTTTCTCCTCCATTTGTTCATTTAATCTTTATCAGTGTAGACTCATGGATTCCTATTTTAATCAAAGGGTTAAAATCAGTAACTATCATTTATTGTGATACTCAAATCATCCCAGACTTGGCCAGTAGGAGCTCATTTAAGGCAACTCTTAAGTCTTTTTGCTATGGCCCCATCATTCTTAGCATTTCCCTACTTTGTAGTACAAGCTGTTCCTGTCTCATCTTTTATTTTCCCAACCCATTCCTAGAGTCAACCATTTCTCTAAGAACCCTGGTTCCTTTATTTATTTTTTTTAAGATTTTATTTATTTATTTGACTGAGAGAGAGAGAGAGAGAACACACGTGGGGAGGGGCAGAAGGAGAGGGAGAAGCAGACTCCCCACTGAGCAGGGAGCCTGACATGGGGCTCAATCCTGGAACCCCGGGATCATGACCTGAGCAAAGGCAGATGCTTAACTGACTGAGCCACCCAGGCGCCCCGGAACACTGGTTCCCCTAAATGGAGAATAATATTTAGAAGCTAAGCCCTGCAAGCTAGGTGTGCTCACGCCTACTAGGATATCTTTGCTTCTGGCCCTTTCAGCAGCTCGAAGTAGGAAGCATGTGTATGTATCTACGTGTGTACATGAGTATACACTTGTATGTATATGTGTGTCTCTGTGTGTCTATGCACACACACATCCACACACATCCCTATATCTCTGGCTACGTCTACGCCTACCTGCAGCTCTGACTTCACATTGACCCCTCCAGCTCCAATCCAACACAACAGGGTTTATTCTGGGATTCATTTCCCCTTTTGAAAAGTTAACCTTCTGACTGCAGGAAATCCCAACGTATTTACATATTTGCTTAATCATCCCTGTATGTCCTTAGACCCCCAGCTGCCCTGGTCAAAAGCTTGTCCCCTCACCATGGGCCCGCATGCCCCAAGGGTGGCGGCGGGGGGGGGGCTTTTAATCAACAGTGACTTGCATGATCTGAATTCACACTCTCTGGGTGAATTCTGCCCACTTCTGCCACTGCCTAGACTCTGAGAATCCGAACGAAGAATCACAAGGCTGACTTTCCCCGTTGTTGCTTAGCAGAGTGAAGGTTATTTTCTTTGCCAAGGCAGTGACCGCTTTAAATGTGGTTTTTTTTTTCCTGTTTGCTCTTCTCTACGTCTCTGATTACTCATGGGACAGTAACAGGATTAACTGAATCCATTCAAAGATGTGTAGAGCTCCCAGCTTCTCCCAGGAAGAGTGCATTATAAATATTATATAGCTGTAAAAACCAGAGCTGGAGGCCAGAGGTCAGCTGATCCCTCCCCACAGCTGCCAGATAGTTGGCTCGTCTGGTGCATTCTCAAAGCCACAGCCTCACATCCCAGAGACAGATACACATCTTTAAGTCATCTTTGACTCCTCCGACTCCTCCGGCCGCCACCCGCCCCCTCCCCCATGTCAAAGGGTAACTTGGAGGCAGGGAGTTTGCTCCTGCCAGAGCTGCTGTGTCCGTTTCCCCTCGGCCAGTTCTGCCCCCCACAATGCCCTCACTGCTCTAGAGGGGAGCAGAAATCCTTTTCCGTGAGCTACATCATCCCCACGCCTTTAGAAGTTTCCTTACAGAATTTTCAAAAACCAGATAGCTGTGCCGCACCACGTGTTGCAAATGAAGTTGAAAATCCCATTTCTAAGATGACCTTCGACACCATCACAAAACTTACATGGTGAGGGAAAAGGGATGATAATGGGGCCCCCGGGCTTTCAATCCAGAACTGACTTTGTTTGAGTGGAGCAAGGAGAGCTGCCTGCCGGGCAACACAGCGCATTGCTGTGCATAAACTTTGTTTACGGCCAAGGCTGGAGTAAAGGAACAGATGGTAAGAAAATCGGATTTAAAGAAGGGACAGATGCGCCTGCATCAGGGAGCTGGGTAAATCTCTTGGCTTCTGGTTTGCATGCGAGGATGAAGTCAAACTACCCACAGCAGTCACGGCCCTGTTCACTGTTGCCTTCGACTATTTACATCTTGTCGCTGAGGATGGTTAATGCAGCCCATTGCGAGCATCTCTCTCTTCCCTCCCACAGGGAATGTGTTTTCCCAGGGATTTGTATGTTCCCTGTCCTTTTAGGGAAAGTAGTCTCTTGATCATCCCTGTGATCATATATCTAAAATTTCAAGAATATTTAAGCCGTTAACCCTGCTTGTCTATGGAGGATGGGATTATATTTCTATGATCTTAGAACTATTTACAACGAGCATGCATAACAAGGAAAAATAAACATAAATGTTTATGCGTAACGCATTCATAAGCACACCCTCCCCCCGACCCGTGATGTTTCAGCTTCTCCCTTCGGTGGTTTTCTGTGTGAGGGCCAAACAATTTTAAGATGCTAACCCCCATGATATGTAAAACAGCTATTATAAATGTTACATTAAAGCTGCCCAGGCCTGCCTCCCCCTCCTTCCTAAGGGAAAGTGTAAGTTATACTTCAGTTAAGATTTACATTTGCTCCCTCAGGGAGGTGAAGGGGAAGAACACACACATTCTATCTCAGTGATGTATGGTTGGATTTAACAGCCCTGATTGTTCCATGCTGGGATCAAGTTATAAACATTTTTATCCCCTATGCATTTTTATCCCCAAATGACCCCTATGCACTTAGAGCAATTCTAGGACCTTCTGACTGCCCCACAAGTGACTTCCCTGCACCAGGACCAGAAGTCCCACCTATTCCTGCATGTTGGCAACTAGGCACTCCTAGGCATTATCAGGTTCTGGGAAAGTCACTCCTTTAAATACATCCTGAGCAAAAGATTGACTACTTAAGTAAATATGCTATATATTAAAGAAATAGTTCCTTACAAAAGAGCCACAAATTAAAAATCAAAGTATCTTAGGGGCACCTCTGGATTTTGGCTCAGGTCATGGTCTCAGTGTCATGAGATCGAGCCCCGAGACAGGCTCCACACTGAGTGTGGAGTCTGCTTAAGATTCTCTCTCCCTCTGCCCTTCCCCTCCTCCCTCCTCCGCCCCCTGCACACAAACGTGCTCTCTTCATGCTCTGTCTCAAATAAAATAAAAGCATCTTACAGAATTGACTGCCAAGTACCACCAAAAGTGCTTTAAGTGACACCATTAGAACTGGTTTGACTCGACTCCTTGCCTCCAGGTGTGCACAGGGCTAGCCGAGGCTCTTTGGGCACCAGCGTGACCCTTTTGGATGGTACACAGGTTGCCATCTTCAAATAAACTCTCCAGGCATTCCTCACCGGCCCCTGGCCCACACCTCGGGCTGCACTCTGGAACTCCCAGTTGGCTCTGATGTCCAGTGTGACCCCCTTCACCAATTTCTGGAAAGGCAACATTGGGATCAGAGGCCTGTGGCTTGTGGTATCCCCAGTCTCCCGTAGCACTCGGCGTCCAGCCTGTATCAATGCGGCTTCCTTACTCTGGGCAGAGGACACAGAGGGAGCCCCGGAGCGGGAAGTACAAAGGCCAGGCTGGGCACAGGGCATCTTAGGTGACAATTTACCACTGCTGTTTTAAGTGAGCCACGTTCTTTGACTGAGTGGTATCTAAATCTGTGACCGCCTCTGATTCCCGAGCTCCAACACACTGCAGTAACCACATTAAGGGAAAAACCACCACCACGAAATCCCTGGAAGAATCCACTATGGCATATCTATTCACAGCCACCAGCCAGAAGACAATTTGTTATGCCTCCCTTTTGGGGCATCTTTTCCTTTGCCTGTTGCAAATATACCCTTACCCTGGGTTCCCTGAAGTTCAAACTTGTGTTTGCTTGGGATGGACCTTGAGGGCCTTGTGCTAAGTGCAATAAGTCAGAGAAAGACAAATACAGTATGATCTCATTTGTATGCAGAATCTAAAACAAAACAAAACAAAACCAAAAAAACTGAACTCATAGATAGAACATATTGGTGGTTGCCAAAGGCAGGGGTGGGGGTGGGTGGGAGAGGGTGGGCTGAAATGGATGAAGATTGTCAAAAGGTACAAATTTCCAGTTAGAAAATAATTAAGTCATGGGGATGTAATGTGACTATAGTTAATAATACTGTAGTGTATATTTGAAAGTTGCCAAGAGAATAGATCTTAAAAGTTCTCATCACAAGAAAAAAAAATTTGTAACCTATGTGTGAGTCTGCTTGAGATTCTCTCTCCTTCTCCCTCTCCCTCTGCCCCTCCTGCTCATTCTGGCTCTCTCGCGCTCTCTCTCTCTCTCAAATAAATAAATAAATCTTAAATGTGTGTGTATATACATATATATATGAAAATCTGAATTATTCCTTCCTGATTATATATTCAAATTCTCAGAAACCCACTCAGCTTGGGGCGCTTAGGTGGCTCAGTTGGTTGGGTGATGGACTCTTGATTTCAGCTCAGGTCATGATCTCAAGGTCGTGAGATCAAGCCCCACCTTGGGCTGATGTCATCCCCAGAGGCAGACCTCGTGGAGCAATTTCCCTGGTGGTGCTGGGCAGGGCATACCTGGCAAGTGCCTGGGGAAGTATTGTTTGTCCTTCGTGGGCTGTATGTGGCATCCCTGGAGTGGATACAAATGTAGACACATCACCACAGTAGGGCAGAGCAGGAGAGAAAATGGCAAGCCAGAGCACAGAGAAGTAATGGAATCGAGTACCCTCCTATTGCCCTGAGTTCAGAAGGCATGAGGGCCGCCCCCCTGGGGGGCTCCTAGAACCAGTGGGGGAGAAATTTGAAAGGACTGAAAATACTGTAGGCAGGGAGAATGGGAGCAACAGAGAAATACAGCTTTTGATTATTCTTTTCTTTTCTTTTTTCGCTCCAGGCTGCTGTGGGCTGGGGAAACACGGATTACGTGTTTGTAGCTCTCACAAAACAGAGCCTTATAGCCTGTTCCTTTCCAAATGTAGATGCTCGCGGTGTGTTGATTTAAGTAAACTGCCCCTTCCTTTTCACATCAAGACCAAGGCCCAAAATAGGACCACCTCCTCCACAAAGCACTCTCCTATCACCTGCAGATTTACTGAGACCCTACTGGGTGTCAAGCACTGTCCTTGGCACTGAGCATATAGCAATTACGGCAAGGCACAAGACCCTACTGGGTTGAAACGTACAGCACAAGTGGGAAGAAGCGTCGGAGGTCATCTGGTTTACTTCTCACCCAAGACAGGCCTAACCCCCAGCCAGCCCGCCTCTGCTCCACATTTCCACCAGCAATCAGCTCTAATGCTTAGAAAGCTCTTGCCTGAGTGGTGTAAAAACTGTTTTCCTGCTACGTCTATGTACTGGCCTTCGTTTCATTCTCTGGAGCTAGACGAACTAAATTTCCTTTTATCTGATAGCCCTTCAAATACTGGTCTACACACTCTCACCGTCAGCCTTGCTCCTCATCTGCCATCCCCCCTTTTGCTCACCAAGCACAGGACAGGCCCCCTTCCCTGCCCTCTCCCCATCCCTGCCTTACCCTCTCTCAGCCTCAGAGCCTGCCACGTTTGGACTTCTTTGTCTTACAATCTATGTGTTCTTTATGCTCGGTCTTCCTTCTTTCCTCCCACCGCATAGCCTTAGCACCCAACTCTACGTCTATATTCGATTCAACCTCTGCATTTGTTTACTGTGCTAGTTGATTGCCATCCTGGGCAAACTGGAATTGGACAGATTGCGGTAAACGTCGCAGCATGGCGGGTGCAAGTTGGCCCTTTCTTTTGGGCTTTGTTCTGCCTTTGGCTGGGTCTGTGACATCTCTTCACATTTAAATTATTACCATGCAGAATTATTTAAGAAACTAGGTCAGGGAGTTCATATATGGTTATGGTTTTGATCACTAAACTAAATCTTAGCAAAACATGTCTACCAGCAAGCCTTTGTACAGACGAAAAGGAAGCAGAGAATGAGTAAAGGAATGAATGGATGGATGTTTTCTTGTCCATAATTCTTAGAATCAGTGGTGTCCAGTTTTAGTTTTGTCCTACTTGTGCCAAATAGATAAGCAAAGTGGATGGTCTTTCAAATCAAAATAACTAAGTTTCAGTCCTTACAATCGCTAGTTTATTTCTATTAAATAAATATATAATCCCATGACACTAAACAGCATAATTAGCAAGTATTTATGCTGTTGAATCCATGACCCAGTTTCCTGAAGACATCTGTTTTCTAAAAGGATCTTTTTCAAACTCAGATTAAAAGATACTACTCAAGTAGGGTTGCCAGATAAAATACAGGGCAGTCAGCTAAATTTGAATTTCAGATACACAGCAAATAATTTTTTAGTACTCGTATGTCTCAGATATCACATGGGGTAGCCTTATACTAAAATATTATTCGTTATTTATTTGAAATTCAAATTTATTTTAGCATCTTATATTTTTCTTTTTTTCCCTAAATCTGTCAACCCTATACCCAAGACATAAACCTTAGCAGTTCATCCCACCCTCCACCACTAACCTCTCTCTTCCCAATGCTCCCTCCCACTATATTTTTCTTTCTTTCTTTCTTTTTGGATAAAAGACTCAGATTTCAGTTCTCCCCAATATATAATGACCTCATTTCAATTCCGAATTGTTTTATTTTTCCCCCCTTTGACAACATACAACAGGTGAACAGCCTTGTTGACTTCTATTGTGGGATAAAAAAGTGTGTATACGATAAACTGCCAGGGAAATCGGCTTAAGCAGCGTCTCAAGTGATGACTCATAGTTGAACAGTTGCGAACAGGTGAAACCAGTCTCACTCTTCAGATGATGCCAACTCCAGGGTCAGTCTGGGTGGAGATCTGTGGCAGTAAAACATCATTCCTTGTCAACAGAAATGAGTTGACTAAATGTTATCCCCAGGCATCTCAAGGCCTTGTGTATTTAACATGTTTCTTCTTTTCACCTGAGAACTGGATTCATTTCCTTTTTTTTAAAAACCTTTAGACTCTATTTGCCTTTCACCCCCAGAAGCTCTTGAGACCGTCCATGAAGGTTGTCAGAGAACAACTCTGTTGTTGTTGTTTTAAGATTTTATTAATTTATTTGAGAGAGAAAGAATGAGACAGAGAGCATGAGAGGGGGGAGGGGCAGAGGGAGAAGCAGACTCCCTGCCGAGCAGGGAGCCCGATGTCGGACTCGATCCCGGTCCAGGATCAGGACCTGAGCCGAAGGCAGACGCTTAAGCCCTCCCCCCCCCGCCCCCCCCCCCCCCCCCGCCGAGAACACTCTGTTGATTGGCTTCTCTGAGGGCTCTGAGCCAGCCCAAATCTCGTAAGACTTTGTCTTTTCAACCCTGGGGAGTGCAGAGCTGGGACATGCCACATTACCACCACCCTCAGCCGCACATGGAGTCGTTCATGCTGTTCTGCTGGCCATGTGATTGATTAACCCGTTGTTAATGGGTCTGAGCAGACACAGGTGCCAAATTATAAACATGGGGGGAAAAGACACCCTCTTCTTTTTTTAATTGAGGGATCATTAACAGAATTTTATCTTAGTTCCATATACAACTTGTTGATTTGACATTGCTTAACACTCACCATTCTAAGTGGTGTCACCATCTGTCGCCATACATCTTTCATCTTTCAACATTATTACAACATTATTGGATTATTGTCCCAATATTATTGACTGTATTGTACTTTTCGTCATCATGACTTATTTATCTTATAACTGGAAGTTTCTTATTCCCCTTTATCTATTTTGCCCTTCCCCCTGCTCACATCCCCTCTAGCAACTACCAGTTTGTTCTCTGTATTTATTTCTTTATTTTTAAGATTTTATTTATTTGAGAGAGAGAGTGTGTGAGCAGGGGGAGGGGCAGAAGGAAAGGGAGAAGCAGACTCCCCACTGAGTAAGGAGCCCAATATGGGGCTTGATCCCAGGACCCTGGGATTATGACCTGAGCCAAAGGTGGGTGCTTAACCAACTGAGCCACCCAGGTGCCCCTGTTCTCTGTATTTAAGAGTCTGGTTTTTGTGTGTTTGTTCATTTGTTTTGTTCTCTAGATTGCACATGTAAGTTTTTCCACACATATGGTATTTGTCTTTCTCTGACTTATGTCACTTAGCCTAACTAGGTCTATCCATATTGTCCCAAATGGCAAGATCTCATTCTCTTTTATGCCCAAGTAATGTTCCATTGTATATACATACCACATCTTTCTCCATTCACCTATCCATGGACTTGGGCTGCTTCCATCGCTTGGCTATTGTAAATAATGCTGCAGTAAACATAAGGGTGCATATATCTTTTTCAAATTAGTGTTTTTGTTTTCTTTGGGTAAATGCCCAGTAGGGAAATTACTGGATTATGTGGTATTTCTATTTTTAATTTTTTCAGGAAACTCCATACCATTTTTCACGGTGGTTGCACCCATTTACATTCCCACCAATAGTGTGCCAGGGTTCTCTTTTTTTCCATATCCTTGCCAATACTAGGCATTCTGACTGGTGTGATGTGATATCTCATTGTGATTTTGATTGGCATTTCCCTCATGATTAGAGTGATATTGAGCATCTTTTCCTGTTTCTGTTGGT